GAACACTAAGTAAGTTTGTAATATTTTACGAAAGACGACGACGCCTGTTGTCTTTCGGTTTGTTGAGTGCAAGTGCTCCGTAGTTGGAGTTTTGGAAAGCTCCCGATGTTCTCTTGCTTCACTCGCTCGATTTGTTCTAAGCTTCGACCGTCTAATTGCTTGCTCATTACTTTTGTCTTACTCCGCCGTCTTGCACACACACACACACCACACACACACACACACACACACACCCCCCCACACACACACTCTAATTTTATCGGGTTAACGAAAATGTATTTATTTGTAACTTAACACAAATTAGACTTATCATTTCCCCAAAATTGCAATCACCGTCCAACACACACTTCCTCTTATTTATTCTGTCGGGTTATAAAATTTTTTTAACAATAAGAAAAAGGGGCGTATAAATGGTATAAACGTTGAAGCGTCGATTTTCTCTTATGCTCCAACACACAGTTGCACGGGGTGCAGAATAGTTTCCCCCCACTTTTTGCCCGGTCTTTAGTAGAAATGTTCGTCGGTAAATGAGATGGATTAGATTTTTTCATCTTGGTGTTTTCTCTATCGTGTGAGCTCCACACGTTCACTCTATACAGTGTTGTTTACATTCTGTGATGCGCGAGCTGATGATGTCAGTCAAGACGAGTTCACTTTTTTTTCCCTCAACTTTGTGGAAAAATGCGGGGATTATGCGGCTTTTTAAAAATCTGCGCCATTTTGCTGATTATGCGGTAAATTCTGCGATCGCAGAATCGCGTTTTTCTGGAGGGTCTACCTATTAGACTGTTTTCACGCAGATATTACAGGTCTCAGATATATCAAAAACAGGGGGAAACACTTTTAACACAAGGAAAGTGTTTTACAGAACACGTGAGAAACATTTAGATGACATGCTCATTCACAAACATGAAGGGAAACATCATGGCATAACCATGGAGCCTCTTTGATCATTATATCATTAGCACAATATATTATTTTTGTCATTGCGCAACTTGCTAAATATCACATGTGAAAGAACGGTACACTTAGGGATTTCTTGCGGTCAGATTGCTGATCCCAATTAAAGCTTTTAAAATGTAAGTAAAGGGTCTGGAGACTCAATTAATCCTCAGCTGTTCCATGGCTTGTTGTGCTGTACCATGTGTAGTTATACTGTGTTCATGTTTACATATATGTTACCTACAATACTGTATGTTCGACAGTCGTCTGGTAATTGCTCTGTTGTAAATAAGATGTTCTAATCTCAACGGGACATACCTGGTTAAATAAAAGTTAAAAAGAAAATTATTTAGTTCAAAAGAGTAAACAGTGGCTTTTGGTGATTTTGAATTCCACTTGAACTGGTGTTTGGTTGTGTTTCAGCAGTAAACTGAAAACAACACATCTGGTGATCTTAGCACACTTAAATATCTGCTTCTATATAGCAAATAATATTGTTACTATTACTATTGTTTCCACAGTATTCAACAGCATTACATACTCCTCTAATACCAACCTGAGTAGATTGTGCCATTGACCTCCACTGAGACGGTGATGCTGGCGTTCCCATTGGTCGAGATGCTCAGAGACATGTCCTGCTGCTTCTCTTCTGCACAAACAAAGGGATGTTTTAGAGCAGTGTTTCTCAAAGTGTGGTCCGTGAGTATTTTGGTGACATTTCACATTTGAAATACAAAAAGAATAAATTCAAAGTCATTCTCAAATTGTTTAAAAATGACCTGTATAGGTGGCAACAGAGACACGCAGTCAGCGAGTGCGTAAACAATGCTAAATAAATTGAACAGTGCAAATAATGAACTTGTGTTTAATGTTGAATTCATGTTAGACTATGAGACGATGAAAACCTCTGACCCTGGTCCTCACTGACCTCTGGTGGTGACGGTGGGGTTTACCTGAAGAGCTTTTATCAATCAAGATTGTTTAGGTGCAGTTGGTTAGTGTTAGATTTAACGTATTTATGTGGATATACCGCCCTCTGTCGCACTTTTAAGAATTACAACTAGTCAAACCAACACCTGAGTGAACCAGTTCTAACAGAGGAGGTTTTAATCAAGTGTCATTTATCAAACTAGATAACTTTTTGTTGGAGATATTTGCTGTACTGATGTCTGCTTTCTCTCCATCATAATGGAGTTAGATGACACTTTGATAATGGTGCTCAAAGCGCCAAAACAAAACTGTATATTTTCCAGAAGTGATGTGACTTTTTTGTGAGCAGTTTCATGTAGGAACTACTTTCTTTGCAGCGTATCACTGCGCCGAACGGAGTGATATCTCCAGGCTAAAAACTGCATTTTTCTGCCGTTCATGCTTTAAAAAACTTTGTTAAATGGGAGACATTTCTATAACGGACACAAAATAAAAAAAGTTAATTGGTAATTAGAACATAAGGATCTCAGATAATGAGAAACTTATAATAAAAGAAAAAGAGACTGGGCCTTTGCCCCCGATCAGACTTGCTCACACTTTGCCTGGTGAAGACACTATGATTATGGTGCTCAATCAGAATCAGAATCAGAACCAGGTCAAATTCCTCGTACGTGTCACCCTACCTGCAAGAACGGCAGAAAATAGCAGTTTTTAGCCTGGAGAAATCACTCCTTTCGGCGCAGTGATACGCTGCATTTTAACATTAAAACACATGTTGACCCTCCAATCCTCACTGACCTCTGGCTGTGATGTTGGGGTTTCCCAGGCGCAGGTTGAGGGGCATCTGAGAGGCCATGGCCAGCAGGTTCTGTTGGAAGGCCTGCTGCATGAGGCGCTGCTGTTCCTCCGCCATGCGCCGGGCCATCTTCCTCTCCGGACCCTCCCCCCCGCCCGGCTCCAGCTTCTCCCGCAGCTGCTCCAGAGTGGCGGCTCTCGCAAGGCCGGAGACCTGGTGGTGCCCGAGGGCCAGAGCCATGGAGGGGCGGCCCGCCAGCATGGAGGGGGGCAGGTGGTCCTCTGGAGGAGAGAGGAGAGAAGAACAATATGAGATAAAATAAGAAGTACTTTATTAATCCCAATTTGGAGATATATCTAATTGTGATTATTTCGACTGATATTGCAATTGTGATATGATTAGAATAGTATTAGATCAGGATTAGAACTTGTTTATTAATTCTGCCCGCCAGCATGGAGGGGGGCAGGTGGTCTTCTGGAGGAGAGAGAAACATGGAGGGATGCTTTAATTTGTGAACTGGGAATACATTTAAGATCTCCCATTATAACATTTTTATTCATAATATTATGGGTCTCAGATATATGCAAATATATACAAATATATAAGAAACATGTCTCTGAAGTGATGCTCAGACAGATCACCCATTGTAGTCTCAGACCCCTCTATTTCACTGCCTGTTACTAAAGTGATGTCTCTGGGTCCGTAGCTTTAGAAAAAAAAAAAAAA